TCAGGCACTCGTCGATGGACATGTGGAGGCGGCCGAGCATGATGGCGATGAGCCCCCCCGTCGACGTGCCGACGATGAGATCAAAGACATCGCACGGCTTGGGCTCTGGGCTCTTTCCGTCTTCGGGTGTCAGGGCCTCGAAGATGCGCTTGAGGATGAGCAGCGTCGAATAGCCCTTGACGCCGCCGCCGTCGAGCGATAGCACCCGGAGGCTGCGGGGCCGGCCCGCACCTCGGGACGGGCCTTGTGGAGCGTGCGACGGGGCGGGCATGGACTTGGCGGGCGAGCTCAGATGGTGGGCGCGCAGTACGTGAACATTGATCTTGAAGAGTACAGAAAATGGATAGTCATCATGAGCAGAACCAGGTCCAGATCAACGAGGCCGACGTCGAGGGATTCAGCTGAGGCTCAGCTGAGTGAAACCCCTCGTATGGTCCGTGCACGCACACGACAGGATCATGAGGCTGGCAATGATCGATGAGGTCGATTGTGTTTGACTGCGCCAGAGGTATGGCTACTGAGAACGGCTACATGTCTTGGTATTCTCTGCAGAGGCACCTTGGCTCGCCCTTTGGTGTTTGATCGTAACCCAGATGCCGGTTCACGTCAGACATGAGATAACCCTAACCCTAACCCTCACAGCGCTATTCCTCCAGCCTGTCTTTCGTTGGTTGTCCAGATCTTATATGATTCTCCACTGGCAACCCAGCCTGTTGCCAGCCATTCAAACATCTCTTGCAAGCGCTCTGCCACTTTGAAAGAAGTCGGCCGCTCAGTGTCGAGGAATGCCGTCTTCGTTTTGTCTCGGTAGACCGTCTGCACAACGACTTCCACGGATGGTTTCGCGAGCGTTGGACTTGGAGCTGCCAACGGAGTCTAAGATTGCGTATCCGGCGTCATGGAGACATGCTGAACAAGCGACTGTGCCAGCCATCTTCTGTGGGAGTACACACAAACGGTGAGGCGGTGTTGGGGGGTGAATTCCATAATGTAGGACGTGTCCACCAAGATGCCATGAACTCCGAACGTTGGCGTCTCAATATGTCAGTCCGACAAGAGTTTCCATTGCCTTTCAGAACAGACTCGTTCTATGATTATGAGCGCTCCTCGAAGGCGAGTCATGCCGCAAAGCGGTTAGCATGGTGAGGGCTGCTCGGAGGTGGCCATCAAGGTGGCACCGAATGACGTGCGACGAGGGGAAACCTCGCAGCAATAGAAAGCGCCTGTATGGAGAATGCATGATCAGAACGGGGACATCATGGTGTTTGAAATGCAACCTCGGCTTATTCGAGGCTGATTGGGCCTTGTTTCGTGGATGAACGGTACGAACCGTGAGACGCCCGAACCGTTGGGGCGGCCTTTTGGTGTTTGGCCTCTTGGTGTTGAGTGAGATTGAACTCGCTGCTCGAGGTCGGGCCAATGGACACCAAAACGTCAAATAACGGGTTGTGCTTTGCAAGACACAAGACAAAGGACGTGCCAAATCATGGTGTCAATATGTACAGCTGAATTGTATGTATCGTCGCAAAGTATGTACGTGGTCAAGTATGTACGGTCCTCGAGTCTGCTCCCTCCATCGCCATGTACAATCACCCTCCCCTCTATGCCCATCCGCATCATGTGAGTCCCGGGGGTACCAATCATTGTCTGGATGCCTGAGGTTCCAGCCCTCCCAAAAGGGAATGTGATTCAGGCTCAGTCTCTCTCGCCAGAGCCCATCTAAGGGATGAACTCCTTGAGCAGAGCGTTGTAGTACTGGTAGCCGGTGCCACTGGGGGGCTCGAAGCTGTACATGTAGGTGTCCCACCAGGGGCCGGCGGCCCACCAGAGGTAGCCCTGCCAGACGTCGGCGTTGGCCTCGAGGAAGGTGAGCAGGCCGCGGACGGCATCGCGGCACTGCGTGTTGGCGCCGCCGGCAAACTCGCCAATGATGCCGACCTTGCCGTTCTGGCGCAGCCAGTTGGTGGCGGAGCGGACGCGCTCGACGCCAATGGTCGAGGACACGCAGTTGGGGCTGGTGCCGGAGCTGTCGCTGTCGAGGTACTGGTGCATCTGGTAGACAATCTTGTTGAGCGGGTCGACGAGGTTCTTCATGCTGTCGTTGACGTCGACCCAGCTCCACGCGCCGGACCACTGGTTGCCCTCGACGAAAATGGTCTGCGTGGCGCCGGCCGCGCGGATGCCATCGATGGCGGCCTGGTTGAGGCCGACGACGAGGGCCTGGTCCATCGAGTGGTACTCGTTGTTCGTGTCCCAGACGACGCGGCTGTTGGAGGCGAACTGGCTGGCGACGTTCTGGTGGTACGTCTTGAACGCCGATGTGCTCGTGATGACGGCGCCGTTGAAGCGGCCGTAGTTGTGGGGGTCGATGACGGCGTAGCCACCACGGCCCGTGATGAAGTTGACCACCTCGGTCAGGTTGCGCAGGTAGGCCGCGTCAAGGGCACCCGTGATGCCGTTGGGCGCGAGACGCTCCATCTTGTACTGGACGCGGAACGTGTTGTAGCCCTGGCCGAGCAGGGTCTGTCAAGTCTGTCAGCCCATGTCCTTCTACCCTGCGCACGAGTACTTGCTCTCCACATACCGAGATGGTCGACGTGTCAGGGAAGATGTAGTGCTTGCCCCACTGGCCGGGGAGGACGCTCTCGCCGAACTCAGCGCCGGCCTCGTTGGTGCCGTACCACTTGAACACAGCGCTGCCGGGGTTCGTGGGGGTCGTGGGAGGCGCTGCAGTGGTCGTCGTGGCGCGAGTGGTCGTGGTGACGGCCGGAGGCGGAGCGACGGCGGTCGTGGTGGCGGCCCGGGTCGTGGTGGCGGCCGGGGGAGGAGCGGCGCCCGGCAGGCACTGGCTGTACCACTGGTTGGAGAAGGTGCACGTGTAGCCGGCGACGCAGGTGGTCGGACCGCTGTAACCCGAGCCACCACACTGGCCCCAGGGGCCGGACTGGGCGATGGCGCCGCCCGCGAGGACGACGGGGAGGAGAAACTTCATGATGACTGAGGGGAGAAGGATCGGTGGTACTCTGTCTGCAGGAAGAAGAAGGCCAACAAGGAAGTCAGGAGAGGATCGTCAGGCCTATATATGTAGGCCCCCTTTTCTTTCCCTCCTTTATGCCGTCCCTTCGCTGGCCCGCTCTGTCGTTGGACCCATCGTCCCATGAGAGGCACGGTTGATGAGCACATCACAACCAGGCCCCGCTCGGGCCGGCGACGCCCTCATTCTGTGGTCCATCTGTGGTCCATCCGCGGCCATCTGTGGTCCATCTGTGGTACAAATCAGGTCTTTCATTTGCGCCAAAGGCGACATGAGGGGGTTTTCGGAGTCTGGGCGCGCCGCGCGACGGTTGTCATGCCGGCCATTCCCTGGCTTGGGTGGCATCGTGTGACATCTGGGTCCGGAGGGTTGCTGTTTTAGGCACGGGGCGTCGACGGCCGCCGATCAGTTCCAGGTCCGCGGCGACGTGGGGGCAGAATCGCGCTGATGAGGAACCGGACGTTGGGGCTCCGGATGGGCACATGGCTGGCAAGTCAGGGCGCAAGGTCGGCAGCTCAGGGCCGTCAGGGGGCGAGGTCATATATGGTGTCCGGCTTCTGATCCGAGAACCCAATGAGCATGACTCGGCTCTGCTCGTCTGGGAGGGGGCCAAGACCTGGAGATCCGGGGAAGCCCTGACGATCTGTTGAGGGTTGCAACAATGCCAGAAAAGCGCTGGCTGACGCGGCTGACGCCCAAACGCTTGTTTCTGGTAGATAGATTGATTTTGATTGCTCTTAAAAAGAGGCATCCAATGCCATACGCCAGGGAAGCCCGGCGACGCTTCAAACGGTGCCAAGTGGCGTGCGAAACACGTCACCACCAGAATCGGATCGTTCAATCGGCTCGGGACGAAGGTCGTGTCTCTGCACTCGCGGAGCATTGTGGCCAGGATGCTGTCAAGTTGTGAGGTAAAAGAACATGGAAGCTAGCGCCGTCGAGTTGTTCGTCCAGTAACTGAAGAACCGTGTTCTATGAGGGCCATTGCCACCGCTCTCGACGCGAATGTGCAGAGGAAAAGGTTTGATGGCGGCATATTGGGCATGCCCCCCCCCCCCCTTTCGGGAAGAGCGAGAGCCTACTGTGGACGCCTTGCTCTCACTTTGACGATGAATCCTGAGGGCATGACAGCAGTCGTATGATGGACATGCAGATTGCTTCGGGATGGCCCAGGGTATCGATGGCTTGCCGCCAAAGGGGCGCTGAGGTGGAAGCATCGAGGGTATCTAGACGGCATCTCCACTTGAAGAAATGATGTCTGCCAAGGAGAAAGTACCGCTCAAAGGCCCGTTCTGCTGAACATACCTATCCAGAAGAGGCGTCGAGTTGACGTCGGATGTTTTCCCTCGAGTGTGCTGCACCAGGAAACTTTACGCAGTTCGCCCGTTGCGGTGAGCTGTCATCTCCGCATCACGTTTGAGCACGTGCCTGGATCAGCCACATGATCAGCCACGTCAGGCCGTTTCTCTGCGGCTGAGAGGTTCTCGGTTTTACTACCTACCTTGTGTACTTCTGTACCACAACCCATGGTGCATGGACTCGGTAACCAAGTATCGCCGGCCGTCAGGTAGAGTTCCGTGTCGAATGAGTTTCGGGACAGGAATTGCGGTCTCTCGAGAGACTAGCAATAAGGCCTCGGCTTCGTTGGTGATTCGCTCATGGTTCCTAGCAAAATCTCAAAGTTAGTCTTCCGAATTTGGTGAAATTATCATTGCAGATGTGTAATACCACGGCCTGAACCACGTAAATGGGGTGCCATCAAGTCTCATGTCATGGATGGGCAAGCGAGAGGTCTTTGTAAAGGTTGTGGATGTGAGTTGGTACTCAACGTCATTCGTTTGCCAATGCATTCTGTTCGCGATCTCGTCCACCGGGGTATTCGTCCAAGACTTTGAGATTCGTCTGCGCCGTGGTGTGACTGCCAAAATGGCAAGGTCGGGAGACAGAAATGTCAGGCCAAAGGTCTCGCAGCTAAGTTGTGTCTTGCTCTGTAAGCGCATGAACTTCAATCCGTTACTTCAATCACCCATCTGCTCACTCATTGGCAGGTGAAAAGATAGTCCGGGGGGTTCTCCTTGCCGGGACCAGTGTTACTGTGCCAGCGTAGAATCTCCAACTGTAGGACATCTCTGCAGTACTGTAGGATGATGAACTTTCCAGAACGAAGTTCACAAAAGGGTGCTCATTTTCAAAGTACCAGATCTCAACAAATAATCATCTTACGCAATTGACGATCTAGATATGCCCTGTAAATATCGTGCGCAGGCTGAAGTTGCTATAGTCCATGATCATCAGAAGGTAACACTGGCGGTGGCTGTAGGCGCAGTAATGGCCGGTGGTTCGCGATTTCTAATTTGCGCGCGCCAGAAACGAGGCAGCATCAGAACCACAAAAGCTCTGGTACGACTAATCATCCGAGTTCGGTGCCTGAATCGCGCGGGCAACAGCGGCCAGGCGAGGGTAAGAGGGTGGGCGTGTCGGTGTATGGGACGCATCAGGCGGTTTGCAAAAAAAATGAGACGTACTAAACGCTTCACCCCAACCACTACCTACGTAGAATGACGGCACAACACTACTACGAGACACCTAAAAGATCCAGAATTACAGTGACTATGAAGTTCATAGATCAGTATAATATACCCTATTTTAAAGGACGGCTTTTGCCTAGAATGAAGTTCTGGAGTCGTTATAGAAATGCAAGGCTGGATAGCTGGGTAGTAGGAATGGTTATGGGGGAGGGACTCCGTACGTCTCATTTTTTTTTTGCAAACCGCTTGCGCATCTAACGGAATTTCACTCAGACTATCATCAGTATCAGGTGAGCGCATGGGAGTGACGCTCATAGGCATCAGATTCAAATAGATGATGGTGAGATGACGCAGTGTGGACTCTCCGGAAAGGGGGCATGTCACCATTGTCAAGCAACGCAGAAGACAATAGTTCCTGGGCTGCTCGGAGGTTGCAGTATCTTCTTGTCTTGGCTGCCTCTTATGATGCCCGATGACTCATATTTGGTCATTTTGTACAGCACGACTGCACAGCAGCCTCGTGAGATGCATCATGGCAGCCACGTGGAAGAAAGTATGAGTGGCCGAGGGTTGAAAATGATGTTATCGGAGGGGCTGGCCTTGAGAAACCCGGGGCATCCGAAGCATCTCGAGTGGACGGTGCGGCGGGAAATGCGGTCGTATGGTGAGGATGGTCCATGATCTGGTATGATTCATGTTGTGCACAGTGTTACCCCTGAGCTGGTATGATTCGTATTGTACACAGTGATACTCCGTGAGCTGGCATGATTCATGTTGTACACCATACTGCTCCGTGTGACAAAAAGCGTCAAACGGCGAGGACAAATAGACGAGGTGGCGAGCGAGTTATTGCCATGCATAGATGTCGAATTCCTCGTCTCAGCCTACAAGGCATCACTGCGACCGCCCCATACGATGATGGCAACAGTGAGCAGACTCGTAACACAGCGAGACACGCCATGAGCACAAGCTCGACTTGAGGTATGACAGAACCCCCCGAAACATCTTCCATCCCCCACCGACCGCTGCCATGATGACCATTTGCGACTGAATGTGAACAATCAAACCTCTACTGGGCGCCCACCCATGCACCCAGTCCCTGAAGACACACGCAAGCCGACATCGTCTGAGCAAAACCTGCCAGGTCACGTAAGAGCAAAACCTGTCAGGTCACAGGAGAGGGGAGAGTAAGGCAAGAAAAGTGAACAGAGGAACATCAATTCATCTAACGATCCTTCACACTCAGTCCCCCTTCGACGGCGACTCCTTGCCCATGCGCATGACGCTCTTCAGCGCCTTCGTCTCGGCCTCCTGACGTGCGAGCCGCACCCGCAGCTCGTCACGCTCCCTGATGGTCTCCTCGAGCGCCTTCTCGAGCTCCTCGATCCGATCCACCTTTTTCTGGCG